CACTTTGTGTGTCAGCTTGGTGGTTGTTGCTGGGGTGGTTGTGCTTGTTGGGGGGTGTATCTGAGGCTGTTGGCCCCTACCCTTGGGACTGGTTGTGGGTGTGGGGGCGTGGCTGAGGCCCCTGGCACTCCCCACTTTCTGGCTTGGTAGTCCAGGGGACTTCTGGGCCTTCTATGTTGGATTATTTGCTGTTCTCACCACTTAAACTCTGTGCTGGAACTAATTTGTTGTCCTTTGCTTACTTCTAAAATGGGGGAACTACCTGTGGGGACCAGCACTTGAGCTCTGTTATTGAGCTAAACTGCTGCTTTGCTGCTGATTCCCTAGGGAAGGCTTTTTGTGCAGCTGTTTGTTTGTTTTTTTCCTGACCGTTAAGGGGATTGCTAACCCTTGGCATGGTGTTGTCTGCAGCACACTCAGCCAGTGAGCGCACTGGTCATCCCTATATAGGATCCGAACCTGTGGCCTCCGAGCTCCCGGTGCTGCACTCTCCTGAGTGAGCCACGGGGCTGGCCCTGCAGCACAGGTTTTAATGGTTGACTTTATAGGTATTTCCTGCTCTTGAGAGATCCACTGCACCTTGGTTGTGTAGAAACTCTGGTCTAGGCCCCATGCAATTCTGTATTCCTGACTAGTGTCCTCTGAGCAGTCCTACACTGATTGGGGGCCAGATCTGCTGTCTTTGCTGTGCCCCAGTGTTCCCTCACTGGGCCCATCTCCCCCACTGTCCATGCTCCAAACACTTCCCATGGGACAGGCCATGCTCTGGTCCCTTTCGATGACTCACCGGCTTTCGAGTGGCTCCTTTCTTTCAGTTGTTGTGGCTCCTTGCTCCAATGTGGTTCCACGGGAATCCTATTAGTGGCCTTGCTGGCCTGGGGGCCACCAAGGCCCTCTTCTCTCCCACTGCCTTCAAGCAACCTCATTTGAAGGGCATAACTGCAGCTTTTGCCAGCTCCTGCTCTGTGTGCTCATCAGTTCCAGCCTTAAAGCAGCTGTGGCACAAATGATCTGAGTGGTTTTTTCTTTCTCTCCTTGTGGCTTCTCCTGCCTTCATGAACTTGGTAGGTCTCTCCTCCTCTTCTCCTGAGCTCTAATGGCCCCAGCTTGGCTGTTGTTGCTTTTTTATAGTTGTAAATTTATTGATGTGTGGGAGAGAGTGACGTGGGGGCCATCTATTCCACCATCTTGACCGGAAGTCCTAATCTAACAATCTTTTTTTTTTTTTTTTTAAAAGATGACCGGTAAGGGGATCTTAACCCTTTACTTGGTGTTGTCAACACCATGCTCACCAGTGAGCTAACCGGCCATCCCTGTATGGGATCTGAACCTGTGGCCTTGGTGTTCTCAGCACCACACTCTCCCGAGTGAGCCACGGGCCGGCCCCTAATCTAACAATCTTATTGCAGCATTATTTTTTTCTTCATTGAATACTGTGTACAAATGCACGTGCATGGACACACAGAGACACACGCACACCACAGTCTCTCAAATCCTCCTTGAAACCAGTTTTACATTCTGACTACCAATAAGTTAGATAAATCTTTAAAGCATGTTTACTATGTACTTATATGAAAATCATCTTTTTAACTTTTTGAAATTTATACTTTGACACTAACAAGAGTTAATTCCTTCTATATTCCCTATTTGTATCATTTCCTCCCCCGCCCCAGTTTCCTAGTTACATGGACTCAAAACCTTGACACCTGTCCCAATTCCTCCCATATTATCCAAACAAATCAGTCTCCAAATCTCACAGGTTCTCTTGGAGCCACCCCCTCTACTCTATTTCCATGACTATTGCCAGAGTTTAAGCACCTATTCCCTCTCTCTTAATCTTTTACAACAGCCCTTACCTGGATCTTTGTAGCCAATCCAGTCTGCTCAAGGCTGCTATAAAAATATCTCCAAGGAAGAGCTCCAATCATTTCACTCCCCTGTTCTGAACCCTTTGGTGGTTCCTCATTGCCCAACAATAATGGAAAGGTCTAGTTCCTTAGCCTGATTTTTAAGGCCCTCCAGAATTTGGCCTAAAGCTTATCTTCCTAGGCTACTCTTTGCCCTCCTGTCCGTTGCCCCCATTCCCTGTGCCTATGCACTTTCTTTGCCTTCCTTCAAATTGCCCTCCTGCCTAAACGCCTTCTGCCCTGTTTCTACACTTCGAAATCTAAGTACTGTATTGTTTAACCCCAGCTTGAAGCTCCACCATACTGCTCCTTTTAGCTGAAAGTCATTTCTCTCTGCTTTGAATTCCCAGCACATTTAACTTGTATCTCTTTTATGGCACATACCACGTTCTATTTTGTGACATGGCCCTATATGGATGTTTCTGTGGCCTCATTTTAGAACAGCATCTAATGTGGATCCAACATTGTATCCACATTATTGCCTAACTGTGCTAATAGAGATAAGAGAGCCAGTGAAAATATTTGAGTAGGAACCACAGAAAAATTAAACTCTCAACTGAAAAAGTAGCACCAAATTATTTTTTAAATATCTAAAATCCCATCAAATCATGTGTTACCAATCTATCTCTTCTTGTGAATGTTTTCTTTCTCTCATTTTAAAAAATATTAAATATTTAAAATTAAAGGAGGAAAGTAAATACTCTTCAAAACCTAAATTAAACGCATCTTCCTTTCTTCTTTTTGGTATATCTTTTCAGCATAAATAAGATTTCTCATTTCAATGTGGTAAGTACCACCATTTGACTATTCAATATTATTTATTCGTTAATGATGGTGACAGTTTTCTGTGTGGATGGGCCCATCAAAAGGGCTCCTAATACAAGTATTTGCTCATGAAGTCCTAAAATTTTTATTTTGTCTTTTAATTTATTAAGAAAACATAAGAGGTGCACACTTCTTTAACTGGGAGGTATCTTAGTCTCTAAATCCTGGGTACCCCTAAATCAATCAGGGCAAAGAAAATTAAGGCATGTCTGCTGTCTACCACATAATTGGCTTTCATTTTCATCACATTAAAAAAAGATGTTCTTCCATGTGAATGGATTTCTTATCATATTCACCTGAAAAGCTTGTTACAAAGTTTATTTTTAAGCCCATCCGAACTCAGATTCTTTGGGGCTGGATCTCCAACAATCTTTAATTATCACCCAGATGATTCTTATGTGCCCTGAAGTTTGTGAATCACAGGATAAATTCTTAACTTCTAAATGCAAAGAGAAGCAGAGACCTCTAGAGAATTCCCCAAGTACACTTGAAACAAACCAGGAAGGTTGAGTCTGTTCATCTTCTCTCCTGTCTCAAGGTGTCCTTGTTTCTTTGTAACTTCCCCCCATCTTTATTTTGAAAATGTTTAAATATACAGAAGATGTAAATATCCATCTCTCTAGTCATCAACCCATCTTATTTTTTTTTTTAATGAATTTCATAGGAAATTCCATATATCAATAGTATCCACTTTGGGATGGTGGTGGCTTGAAAACTAACAGGGCAGTGAATCCTTGTAGCCCCGGTGAAAATACAGTGGCTTCCTTTTATTGGACAGAATTGGCGGTTGCTTGGCCTTGGGAAGAGAGTTAGAATGCATTTAATCAAAGACAGAAAGATAGTTTTGGCCAACTGTAGACAGCCCCCACAATGTTGTATCTGCTTGTCTCCATTAATTTGAATGAGAGCTTTTGTTTTGTTACTGGAAGAAGAAAGGGAGGTTTGGGGACATAGAGAAGAGATGCTAAATGTGGTAGCTGATGGCAGCAATAACCCTTCCCCTCTTTCATGCATTTTGAGACCCTAATGGAGAGATGAGTTAGAGGCTGAGATTTGCTGGGTTAGTGGTTGCAAGTCAGACTGCCTAGGCCTGCATCCTAGCTGCTCCTGGCTGTTTGAACTTGGATATGTTACGCAGCCTCTTGCCCTTGATTTTTTCATTGGTAACATGAAGGTAATGATAGTACCTACTTTATACTGTTGTGGAGAAAATACATGTGCCTGATATGTAACTCAGTCAACTGCAGTTGCTAAAATATACTTACATTTCTTGATGAGTTTCTTTAAGATCACATAAAATTAACATATGTAACTGTAGCAGTTGGTGAATAAGAAAGAGACAAACTAAATGATTTTGACAAGCGAGGCTAAAAGGAATTCAGAGATGCAGGAGGAAGCAATGCTGAAAGTCCTTCCAGATGACGTGTACTTAAAATGAAGTCCAAATTCTTCCCTTGGTCTGCAAGGCCTATACATTATCTGGCCTCTGACTACATGTCCAACTTCATCTCCTCTCCTCCCTTGCATAGGCCTAGCCACACCAGTCTTTGGGTTTCAGACTGAGCCCAGCTTATTTGATTCTCAAGACACTTGCACTTGCTGTTTCCTCTGCATGAAAATCTCTCTTCAGATCTTACAAGCCTGGCTGCTTCTCAACCTTTGGGTCTCATTCGACTCAAATATCGCATCCTTGGAGATGCCTCTTTTGACCACTCACTCAGGCAGATGTTAATCACATCACATTATTTTCTTTCTTTCTTTCTTTTTTTTCTGGCTGGCTGGTACAGGGACACAACACATTATTTTCATGTCACTTGTCATATCTGAAATTGTTATGAATCTGTTTACTTGTTTATTGTCTGTCTCTCCTGCTAGAAGGTAGCAACGAGAGGGAAGGGGTCTTGTGTCTTTGGTTGGTACCTGGCTGCAACCCTAGCACCTAAAAAACAGGGATGGTTGCACACTGTAGGCACTCAAAAAATATTGATTGAAGAAATGAATGAATGAATGAATGTCTGGAAGATGGAAGACTGAGGGAAGTGAGAAATAAATCGAAGGTCCAAGGAAAGTACCCAATTCTTGGGCGGAAGCCAGAATGCCAAGAGCTTAACAAGCAAGCTTGATGAGCCGGTAAGGCCTAGGGCGGGAGAGGCGGGGAGAGGGCGAAGGTGGGGCGGGGCGAGGGGCGGGGCGAGGGCGGGGCGGGGCGGGGCGGAGTCGGCCGGAAGCGGGGGAGGAGGCCCAGGAAGTGACGGCCCCAAAGGCGCTCCCGGGGACTTCTGGAGTTAGCGACGTCTGCGACACTGTCATCGCGGCCGCCGCATTCCCCGGCCGTGGGCGATGGAGAACGGAGCGGTGTACAGCCCCACCACAGAGGAGGACCCGGGACCCGCCAGGGGTGCTCGGAGCGGCCTCGCCGCCTACTTCGTCTTTGGCCGGCTCCAGTGGTATCGGCGCCTTCTCAAAGGCTTGCAACTGGTGAGTCCCCGGCCGGGGAGCGCGATTCCAGGGCGGGGAGCGGGGTCTGGCCCGGGGCCGTCGGCCTGCGGGCTTGGGAGGCTGCCGAGCGGCTTCTCCTCAAGCTGGTTGTTCAGGAAGTGGCCGTTTCCACACCCCCAGTTCCTTCCCTCTCCGTCTGGGGAAGGGGGCGTAACCTCTGCCTCCGCACCCTTGCGCCGTGCCGTTCCCGGTCCCCAGGTCTCTCCCCTCCTGGGTACCCGAAGGCGACGTAGGACCATCGAGCCTGTGAGGCGGGCCCAGAAATGCGTCGGAAGAGACCCAGGTCAGACACAGACTTCTTTCGTCTGCATCATCGCCCAGAGTGCCTGTATTTAGACTACAAGAGCGTTCTGTTATCTTTCTTCGGCTACTGCGGTTTTCCTGGTGCGAGCCCGTGGGGGTATTTTAACTTGTTGGACAAAGCCTTCCGATACCGCGCATGGCATTGAGATGTGTGTGTCCAGTAAGTTATCTCCGAAAACTGTTATATTGACTGGAAAAGAATTATTTCTGAGTGAGCAACATGTGTGTTCAAGGTAGAAAATCAAAAAGGACAGTTTTTTGTGTGTATGTGCGGATAGCAGAACTAGGACATAGTATGCTTCTCTTTCCATTTCATTGAGTTTCAGTTTATTTTAGGCAGAGTACCATAAACCTATTAGTGAAAATATCAGAGCATCTTTGAGATTTAAATTTTAATTCAATTTACACTTGTATTGAGCTCCTATGTAGTGCTTCCACAACTGATGAGCAACATCTGCAAGAGGACCAGTTTGGGAAAAATCAGAATGCTTAGAATGTTTATGGGTTTTATTTTTTAACCATCCCAAGTAAAAATAACTCATTGGTTTTCTTGGGAAGAACTTTAATTCTTACCACTCATATAACTAGAACTTAAATTCTTAGAACTCAGATGACCTACTTTTATTGAATAGGAAAACAGCAGTCTGTCTAGGCGGTATCACCCTGAACGGGCCCAATCTTGTCTGATCTTGGAAGCTAAGCAGGATATGGCTTGGTTACTACTTGGATAGAAGACTGCCTGGGAATACCGGCTGCTGCAGGCTTTAAAAGGGAAAAAACAAAAACAAAATCCCAGCAGTCAACACTAGCACTACTTTTTAGCTACCAAAATTAATCACATCTGGGAATGATTGGAAAATTACTTGGAGGCAAATGACAGTGGCCTCTGGAACCCAAGAAAGTCTGGCCCTGCCTTCTCTCCAGCCTCCCTCTAAGTAGTCCCACACTGGCCACCTTTAGGTTCTATTAGACATCAGGGGCTTTCTTTTGCCACGTTTCTTTGCGCAAGCTGTTCCTTTTACCCAGAAGTGCTTCCGTCTGCTTTTCCTCTTGTCAGCTCTCACATGGTTTTTATTTTTATTTAAAAAAAAGGTTTTTGGCGGCTGGCCTGTATAGGATTGAACCCTGGATCTTGATGTTATCAGCAGCCTGCTCTAACCAACTGAGCTAACCAGCCAGCACTCTCACATGATTTTAGGTATCAGCTATGTTTCTGTGCTGTAAAGCCAAAATGTTTCTATGTGAATAGAACTCTAGAACAGAAGAGAATTGATGTTTACTTGAAGCATTCTTGCTGCTCAAAAGACATCATCTGTGTTAGTCTGCTGCCCATTAAACCTCCTATTTTCAGTTGTCTTTGTTTTCTCTTTCTAATCAAAGCTAAAGTAGTTTAGTAAACTGTAGTTCTATATCTTTGGAATAGAGCACAACCAGAAACGTTGGTGGTAGACTTTATACTTCGATGCAGAGAAGATGAATTTGCCTTGAAAAGGTTGTTAGACTATTCCTGTTTGTTTTCCATCATTCATAAGGAGAAATGGGGAAAGAATAAAAACTGTCTCTTCATGAAATCTGTTTATGGGGAACTTGTAATGTTACAAGAATGTTTTCTTTATACGGAGCTTTTACAGTATTTTTTTATTATTGCCTTTCACTTTGGTGGTTGTCTTTTTGTTCCTGCTTTGTCTATTTTAATAATGTCTTATCTCTTCACAACAACAGTATATTATAGGAATTACCTAGAAAGTCCCAAGGAAGTTATATATGAAGTCAATAAAAACTGCCATTCAGCCTAGGGCAGTATGCAAGATCTTCTTTGCCTTAACTCAAACTCTGCCTTTAGGTTGTTTTATTTTAGATGATTTATTTTTAAAAAGCTAAATAGAATTGCAGAGCTCCAATAAGGAAATAACTGTAATGGAGAAACCTATAATCAGAAGAGGAGGTATTTTAACAAGGTACCTGCAAACCCTGTGAAATTTTTATTCAAAATGTTGTACATTTATGTGTTTGGGTACATTATCCTGGACCTATAAATCTCATCAGATTCTCAAAGGCCCCAAAAGAGAAAGGAAGCCTGCTCTAAAACTTAAATACCAGACATTGTATACTTAGGAAATTCTTACATGATAGTCCTAGGAGCTTGTTGAATTGGATTACCTCTGAGGTTCTTTCCGCTCTTCAAATACTTTCAAATCTCTGTGACTCCTAGGGGTTTGCTGTTACAGAGCTGAATACCGAAGGGGTAGCCTGCACACACACAGGAGGGGGAATAGAGATAAAAGAGCATAAGTTTTCTAACTCTTGGAGTTATTAGCTATGTCTACTATTAAGAGATAAGCTGAGTTTTGTCAAATCTTGTCCAAAACGTAAGCATCCCCCTAACTACTATCCACCCTTCCAGAGCTGAAGAAAAAAAATCTTCAGTTGAGAATTCAATGTAAGGAGTTACTAGAATCCTAAATTCATGCAGTTTTTCAGTTTATTCTATTATTAGATTTGTTCTTTTACTATATGTTATTTTGTGAGGTTTTTTTAAAACAGTTTGTTTTCATTTTAAGAGGAGAATTGACATTTGGCACCCTAATTGCTTGCTAACCAGCTGATGCAGTGATCTAAATATATGTAATTTTCTTTCTGCAACAAGCTCCACATTGTGTCTGTGCTGTCAATTGAATGTCCTGATGGTTGCACAGTACTGGGATTATAGTCACTCTTCAGGCAAGCAGTGTGTTTGAGGATTCAACAGTAATTTCAGTTCATTAAATTATTGGTAATGTTATTCTGTAAGTACCAAGAAACAGATCACTTAGAAGCAATTTCTTACATTGCTGCTCTTTTCATTATTTAAATGTGGAAACTGATATGTACTACATTGAAATGCTCTATTTTTTTTGCCTTGAGGAAGATCCATACTGTCAGCAAATTACATCTTTGAACCTTTATAAGAGTAAATATTTGCCTAAGGCAAGGGAGGCCTCTCCTTTTTCTACAGATTGATTTTAAAATTTGAACTTTACTTATAACTACATAGTTTTTAATAGCAAGTTCATTAGTTCATAAATTCATATAATTTTTTTTTTCCTTTTTGTCTTTTTTTACTAACCGGTAACGGGATCGCAACCCTCGGTGTCGTGCCCATACCGGGGACTGGCAACGGGATCG